CTCAAATTTTCTTATTTTGATTAGGATCTCTTCAACAACTCTGTGGACTGAGGTGTGGAAGTGAGCTACGACAACAGCTGTAGCGTTAGTATCAATTTCGCATCTTTTTTTGGCTGACAATGCCGACAGTGACTATTAAAATTTCTGACTGACACCGAAGTGCAAAGTGTGAATTTAAACCAAAATTGGTGTTCATTTCAATTTACACGTACCTCAACAACCTACAATGGTTGATAATGTATAAGTGCAAAAGGATGTGCACTATAGAGCAAACTTTGGACATATGGAAGCTCTTTGAACGTTGATAAAAAACTAAAATCTGAGTTGATTTATGATTGTTTTTCCGTTCGAATACGATTGCGAGAGAAATCATGTAGAAGCTCCCTCCTTGACTGCAAAAAAAAAACACCAATTTTTTGCATAGTATCTCATTAACCAAACAATTTCCACTCTCTCTGCTCCAAGGAGCGCACGACCAATTAGTCGCCTTGTGGCGTACTGTGGGACTAGTGGTATGTATAGACGGATGATGGCAAAGAGCAACTCATGTTTGAAGTTAAACTAGTGCAAAGTTGATTTCTGATTTTTCAACGGAAACATGTTTCCAAATGAAGTGATGTGCAGTATTCTATATTTAATTATTTCCTCGCACACCAGCGTCGTTTAGGGGGATTTTGCTCCAATCTTGAATTTGCAGCGTGCAATAATCTAATGGTGCCCTTTTCTTGCTCTTATAGAAAAAGCTACATTTACAATTTTCAGTCTCAGACTAATAAATTTTCATAAATATCTTGCGGAAGTATTTTTTAAGAAGACTGCAGATATCTTTTTTGCTTGTTCATAGGCAAGTGTCTGCTGTACTAGGAGTGTTGCCAGAATTTTTCAGACCTATATGATTGAAGGTGCAGAGCCTGCACGACTCACTACTAAGTGCGAAAGCACTTTTCGGGAAAGAGAAGCTATTGTGTGCATGGACAATAGTATGTCATTATGTTCAATAGATAAAATTTGAAGCACAAGAGATCTTGAATGAATCGCACAAGCCAGCTCATTGGGATCAACAAAGTTAGTTCTGCGGGAACGGCAGATTAGAGATCTCCGAACTTTTTGGGGACCATGCAAGTAACTAGAACCTTTCATAGATAATCTTATCCGATTAATCAGATGAGAGAAGACAATAATGGACATAGCTCGAAAAGAATACGGGGAGAAGTTTGTGATACTAATTTTATGGTAAAGTTAATGTACATTTCTAGACCATGTACATTTTCATAGAAATAAGGTCAAGAAGGACACTAGGAATTAGGGTCCTCTTTCAAGTCCAGATTCAAGATCTCAAATTTTTTCACTACTTTCAATCGCTTATTTTGCGGATTAACTTTATAGAAGTAACATTTGTGATCGCTTGAATTTGGGTAAGCAACGAGAAGGGTACATATAAGCTACTATACAGTATATATATGTAGTAACTATTGGTTGATGTCCTATGGACGCATCTATTCCACTGCTGGAATGTGTGTCGCTAAAACAAAAGTAAAAGTATCTCAACACTAATTATTTTCAATTTTTGGTTGGCCGACTTTAACAAATTTTGGGGTTTTGGAAAATCCTGCTGGATGCAGATTAGGTACAGCACATTCTTGGTGGCATGATGAGGGGATAAAAGAGTTAGTGGAGAATTACGACGAAGAAGCGTAGAAATTCCTATCTAAGAACCTATGTAAAATAAATCGAGGCATAGCTTGACCACCTACATATCTAATATGCTAATACATGAGATTTAATGATGATTTTTATTGCTTTGATTCAACCTGAATCTTAGATTTTTCTTCAAACAATCAGTGCATGTATCACATACGTCGTTTGTCTTTTTACGTTGAAAAACTAAGCATGCTTATTATCGACCTTACTCTTACAGTATACAATATCTTTCACATTTATTAATCCTCTCCAATTCAAACAGGCAAGCTGGACAAAAAACTCTACAACCTTTTAATGATTAAAATCATTAAGAATGCACATGTTACTCACATCTGTACATTGAACACAATCACAATCTCGCTCAAAGTATATGTAAACTCTAAATCGTTTATTTGATTTAACGTTAATTTTTGAGGTGCAAGATGCTTTTTTGATTCAGCAGCTGTGCAAAAATTAGCGGGTAATACCTATAAACTTTGTAAGGCACACGTATACTTGCTTTATTACAACCAACGAAAGTACAAAAAACTCCGAACCATGGATGTAAGCCACAGTAAGCGTGCTTTCATACAAAGGGGAGAAGATTATTAATGAAATTTTATTATCAAAATTGAGACCACTGCTTGCTTGCACAAAGCCCAGGTGATGCAGCGATGTTCTCTTTGGTTTTTTTGATTTGGAACTGAAATTGTGGATTTCGTGAGTGTAAAGTTGTTGCATGAAGATCGTCTTGCATTTCAGTTATGGGAGTCAGCGAGTTAGTTGCATTGGACAGCAACAACCGAAATGCAAAATTGTTGCAGTACAGTGGACTCATAACAATTGCCTCTCGGGAGGATCGCGAGGAAATCGCATGATGTATATCCGGATCTTGAGTCTGCTACAATCTAGTCACTAATATGAGTTATTACCAGGGTAAAGCGGGGGGTGCGGCACGCCGCAAGGGGGGGGGGGGTCGTAAGGGGGGGGATAGGCGGGGGGGGGGTCGTATCGACCCAAGGTCAAAAGCGGTTTCTAAGGGGAAATGACTGCAGCTAAGTTCTTAGATGTGCTACGCTCTTTCCCAACTACCTCTGACAACTCAGGTTCAACAATTGAGAGGAATACTAAATGGAGTCTGGAGCGCACTTGTACAAGCTGTGTGACTAAACTGACTTGATTAAAGCGCTGTTGAAATCCTGCAAAATTCAAGTTCAACGACACCGTATGACACCGCACGACACCGATACCGTATGCCTACCGTAACCTACCGTACCCCTAATCAAGCATAATTGTCGTAATCCGCGTGTCGAATAACCCCTATGCGCCAAGTTTCAGCGAGCTCTGAGGTCTCCGAGCAGTAAACAACCTTGTATAAAGCAGTAATTTAAAACATGATTAACTTCATTTTAACGGTGAGTAAGCTACCTCTTCTTGCACTCAATACAAAGCACTACTCCTTCTTTGTCCACCTCAGGAATCCCGCTTCAGAAGACCTCCAAACTATTGAATTAGAAGCCAACCAAAATCGCTTTTAGCTTTTGATCGCTGTGCTTTCACCAAATATTACTCAGAGCTAAGAAGACGAATCAGGCTCAAAACATCCCTATAGAATCTACGAGGTTTAGGCTATTGATTCATATAAATATTGTCCGCTAAAAATGTTTTTTTGATATAGTTAATGGCCTGCGGCACCCCCCCTCAAAACCTGCGGCTGCCGCAGGTTTTGAGGGGGGGTGCCGCAGGCCATTAACTTACCTTCAAATCGTTCAAACAGCTGCCTTTTTCATATAATCCTATAGATTCATCCTTCCTCTCTCCGTAGTAGCTGTTTCCCTTCGAACCTTTTTCTTTAGAAGGAAATACATATGGTTTTTGCGAACCATATGCTGGGAAGTGCGGCCAAAATATATTGGGTTACGGTAGCGCTCGAAAGATTGTCAAAACACAAAGCCGCGAGATGCGAGTCTTTGAAATCTGCGAGCTAAAATCTCATCTTGTGATGAGATTTCTCGCTTTCTTTGCGTGAAATGGGCTTGTACCTTTAAATTCGTCTGATGGACTAGGATGACGAATCTCTTTCGCATTTGATTTCTGCGTCCAAATTCGCAAGCGCTTGTTCCTCGTGTTGCATCTCTTTTTATCATTTTTTTACCTTTAACAAACATCCTTTGTTTTCACTGAACATTCAGTTCATTCTGTTCAATTATTCCTGGCTTCATTTTCTTTAAGTGTACCTTTCAGCATGGATTATTTCTGGATCGGTATCTGTTTGGTAATTTGCCCTTCACAGTGTCGCCCCAAACAAGGAAAGGTATAGGTCAGAAAGCTGTCACCATGGTCCAGGTGAGATTTTGTAATTACACTAAAAAGTATGGTATTACGCATATTTTTGGAAAGTTCTTCTTTTTACCTCTTTTCCCACGAAGAAACTATCTACTTCTTTCAAAAAGTTTGTTATACAATCAGTCTTACGTCTGCAAGCTTTTGAGCACTACTCCATCACATGTTTTCAGTGGGCAGATTGGCTTTGCAAATACAAAAGTCCCTTAGAATTAATCCAGAACAACACTTTTTTGCTGCTGAACTCTCTTTGGATTTTTGTGTATGCTCACATTTGCTCATGGTACGTTGCCTTTTATACTAGTCTTGTTCACATTATTTGAAATCAATTAAGCCTACCGTCATGGCGGTCGGTATCTATACACATGGATAGCCGTTACTATACATGCATTTATCGTCGAAACACTAGCAATCTCTGTACCAGAATTCAACCTTTATTGGCATGCACAGGTATTTATCTTTCTTCTTGGCAACGTGACTGTACGATCATTTTGTTTAGGGTGTGTTAAGCTTTTTTGGGAAGAGAGTTCCTCTCTATGCCCTTTTTGGATTCCATCAAATGTTTCTCTACACATCCTATGTCCTTGTTAGCAGGTATCGTCATTTGCACATTCTGGTTAGTCCACAAAAGATTCATACGTTTTTTCTTATCGAGAAAATTTTCCGACAAGAATGATAAACGTAACTTTCAATAACGGTCAAGCGTTTCTGCATGCTTATGTTTTTCCAATGACCTTGCGAGGTTGGGCGTCTACTCTCGTCCTTTCCCTCAATTTTTTGCGCGAGCCACTGGATTGATCTTTCTTTGATTTATTAGGTGGTTGACGGTGTCCTGAAAACTTTAGCAAAATACAGTGTATCCGCATCTGGCTATCTCAGCAGTAACAGCAGTTTCAGTCTCCTTAGGTGTAAATCACAAGTCCACTACTGTCCACTTTGGTGACTGTGAGTGCAAATTATACTTTCACCACTTCAGAATGCGTCTACCTTGGTGGGGTGAAGGGCCTGCAGTTTGGTCTGAGTTCTGTGGTGCTTCAACTGCCATTCCGTATGTTAGGTAGAAATTGCTGTGGTGGACATGGCACGATACTGATCCAACAATCAAAGACAGGTCTTTTTTCATCTTTTTCTAGGTATCCTCATCGTTCAATGTGCATACAGAATGTTCTGGACCCCATGGAGCTCTTTGTACTTTTATGCAATGATGTCAGTGATGTCTATGTATTCAAACCCATGAGCAGCAAAGGGGGAAATAGCAAGATGAGGATGCCTACGTATTCTTTTTGATTGCCAAGTTCCTAGTTTAGACAGTAATCAACTGTGAGATATTTTTCTAAAAACTGCAGTGCTTGTCTATCAAGGCCAATCTAGCAACATACTGCGCAGTTTCGAAGGTCTCATCAGTTATGTGTTCTTTTCTCTGAAGTTTGATGATCGTTATTCCAGGAAAAGTTGGATATATATCACGATCGTATTCTTAGTGACCAAAAACGATTTCTTGCAAAATATATTGCGTATCCTTCAAGGTAGTTTGTTAGCCAAATCTCACTGTTGAGTCAATACAAGCTTTCAGAAAATCGCGCCCTCAACCAGGAGAAAGTCGATCGACCTTGGATTGATATGTTTGGGAAAAACTACATGGAAATTCTGAAGCACGTGTCTGATGAGCGGAGTGCATTAGAGCAACTTAGAACCTTTGTAAGTGAAATTCTTCCAGCGCAGGAGACAGTTTGTAGTCTATCTGTAATTTGCAGGATCAAGAAGATGTTATGAGAGAACAAGAAGAAGAACTCACGAACATCATAAAAATCAAATTTTTTGCAGAAGAGCTGGATGTTTTTGAGTGGGATGAACGTCGCCTTGTCCAAAAAAGGTGGGTTTTAGGTTTTTTACCAAATCTGACTCACATAGTCAACTAGCATGTATCTTTTTTTTTGACGTGGGTTCTCATTTCTCCAACACTGGTGTAAAGTTTTTTCTGTCATATTCGTTTTCCAGGTGGTTGTGGTCAGCTCACCATTGAACGGAATTTTACATTCTTTATTCACTCCCCCTATCCTTCTCCGTTGTCTCCATTATTGGCCTGATGTGCGTTTGAATTTCTCTTGTCTCATATGTCGCTTAATTCTGCTATTCTAGGCAATCATAGACCGGTGTGCCTCCTTTACTTCCCCGGGGAGCCAAGTCACTATGCTAGCTCACTAGTCATGCATGGAGATTTACTGTTAGATGCATCCAAGTTGCGGTGCTTCGCGAACTGGCCTTTTATACTGAAAAGTGTTCTTGCTGGAGTTCGTGTAAATCCATGCCTACTCATAGAATTAATCAGTTTGCGGATTCTCTTTTACAGAACGAAGAAATAAAGCGATTGCTTGGTCTGAGTTGTCAATACCATTTATACTATCGCGACTGTCTGCATCAGTGATTTGTTTGCTATGCGTTATGTTCTCCCAAATTCACATAGGAGATAAAAGTGGATCAGTCGTCTTTGAAAAGCCGGAGCTCGTTTTACTGATTTGGGGGGGGGGGGGGTATGGAATGGGGGGGGGGGTCGTGCCGAGGTCCGGCCTAAGGGGGGGGGGTCGTATCCAGCGGTCGCGTGCCGCACCCCCCGCTTTACCCTGGTTATTACACGCAATGTGAAATTCACCGATCCTATCCTGTTTGGTTGCGAAAGCTGAAAAGATTAATTGATTCTTGTCGTCCATATAACCTTGAGGAGCTTATCTGATAAGAAACGAAAACACATAGTACGCCGAGAAAAACTTACCAGGAGCAGAAGGCGTATCTGCTCCTAAAATCCAAATTGGGTGCGGCAAGGTGCATATTATGTGCAATGACACACATGTTCATATGAAAAAAATAGGTCTAATGTCTTTATCCAAGTCCGCGTGAGCTTGGGATAAACGAGATGCGGAAACATCTGCCATTTGAATTCTCAATAATACAATTGCTTTAACTGGAGCACATCATCAGATGTTGCAAGCGAGCTGCAGGCACTGTAAAACGCGTTATATCTTCCTTAGTAGTTTCCAGCAAGTGACATGATTAAATCCTCGTTGTAGTTGCTTCAATTATTCAGTGCCTTAAAAGCAGTGCCACTAAATAACAATAAACAAGCCTTTTTCTCGATGCTTTTTTAATAGTATGATCTGAACGACTGGATGATAGTGCTGCAAAAATGCAGCATTCTGTTGTCTGAAGAGACCAAATCTTGAGCTTTTAACATCGAATTCAAGTACAGCTTTGATTCAAATTCCCCAAAACAAAATGTTCTCTTTTTTCCCCCAAAAATCGACCAAGTGCACCAAACGCATTTGTCGAGAAAGCTAATTCAGTTGTGGTCTCTAAAAATGCTATAAAAGATCGCCAAGATTTGCTCGAAAACATCTTTCAAATTTTATATTATTGCAGATTTTCTTCCTGCAAACACGAAGAGATCACTGCTCAAGTCATTCATTGAATCAATGAGAGAGCTGCTTACATTAGTTCTATTATTATAAAAATCGAAATTTTTAGAACTCGTTCTGAGTACTGATATCTAGTTCTATAAAGAGACTATGTGCTTGGATTTGAGCGGAAGTGTCCCACACAACTGAAGTAGTGCAGATCTCCATTTATTCTGCTGCAGAGATTCTCCAATAGGCCATAGAGTTCAGCTCATATTTTCTCTACCTTGCTAATTGCCAAGGTGCCCCCTTGAGGGCAATATGGCATAATATGCCGAAAACTGCCGGGGTGCAAGAGATCAACTTGGAGCGCTGTAATCGCAAAGCGATGGAAAAAATTGACGTTGCTATTTCATTGAAAGGTTAGAGCGTATTTTGCTGTAAGTTTCGAATAATCTTAACATCAAAACAAAAATTCTCTGCATTGTAGAGGAATGGAGAGTAATGTATGGCTTTGTAGGATATCAGATTGAACGGCTATTCAAATTCCTTCTGCACTATTTACTGATGCGAAACTACACTGTGTTCATCAACATGCCTATAACCTTAAAGTCAATGTTTTTGAAGTTATTCTCGTCTCCATTTCGATAAGCGCACCTCTCTAGAACAACAAGTCAAATTTTCAAAGTTTGGTGCACTATTAGTTTTTGGTAAATACATTTTCATGCGCTATTCATGTTTGTAGCGACCAAGTTGGCTGAATGGCTATTTGCCTGGATCACTTGCTCGCTTCTGCGTGTAGAATTGGGGAAGCAAGCATTTACCACGTGCAAACGTACGTAAGGGCATTCGAAAAATCATGACGATGGCGCGACCGCGCGCGACACGCCCGCACCTTTTGGCAACCACATTTTCTTGACTTTAATCTCTACTCGATTAGTTTTCCTGCACGCATGATAGTACTCGGACACTGGAAGTGACTGAGCTGAGCGTTGTGGTAATGCTCTTTTTAAAAGAGGGTGTTATGCTCCTGCGGGCGCAAAGACTGCGGTCAAATCCATCGTCACGATTTTGTAAATGAACTATACAACGGTTCTGGTCTGAGTTGAAAACTATATTAGTATCTTTCCCGGAACTCCTTGGCAAGGAAGGAAGGATAACCAACAATAATAGGTGTGATTTTCAATTCGCACTGATTGAAGAAATTACAATACTTTTGAGACAGTTGTAAAGTGTTTTCACGTGCAAAGGCCCTGGAATTACTTGTTCATTCCAAATAACCATTGAAAAATCCAAACTTCAAATCAGTTATTTTTACTCAGCCCTTTGCCATGTGCAAATGAGTTGGTGGCTGAGCTATCTTTGACCGCATTTGCTTTTCGTAGGCATCGATTTAGGAAGGCCAGTTTTGAGATTTGAGCAATACAACCAAGTGAACGTGCTAATCTTACAGAGAATCATAAGTTTGTCCAAAGATATCCACATGCAAGAACTTTTTTCTAGGAATAAATATTAGGTTGGCGGATAATTTCTGTTGCACTTTTTTTGTAGAATTCTGAAAAATTCTAGAACTTCTCTAGAATCTTCGAAGTCTTCATATGTAGGCCACGGCAGGGCCCACACAACAGTAAAACAGTTGCCGCAAATACACATATAGCTGGCAAGTTTACGATAACTTTATAAGAACACTTAAAATTGTCATGTTTTCCCTGATTTTTTTCTTGCATCTAGTTGTGTTTTTTCTCTCCTATAATTTTTTGGAGCATATTTTCGCATTGCCTCTTTTATGGCAGCACTTTGGTGCCGCTAGCACGCCAAAAACAAGGAGTGAAAACAAATCAAAATCGAAAAATCAGTCGAAAATTATTCTTTTCGAATGCATCGTGTAGGAGTTGATACATAGAGGTTGAAAATAATTTTTGTGAATTTTTAAAAATTGCTCTTCATGTTGAAATGCGAATGTGCGTTGACATGGCGCAACATGTAGCTCATGTGATAGTGTGCGGACAGTTTGTGCCATCCTCTACAATCGCTAAAAACTTTGGGCTATACCCTGCTCGAATACCGCGTCTCCAATTCGTCTTAGATCACCTGGAAGAATGCCAGCTCACTGACAAAAATGTCCATAAAACGTACTCCCACCGATAAAGTGGGTGTTTTGAGCAGGACCGCAAATCTGACAGTGGCGGGTAGACTTTTGCATCCCGTCAACAATTTCTAAACATAAGAAATCTCGGATGTTTTTTAGATTTTTACAAAACAAAAATAAAAGTGTAACAGAAATTATCCAAACCTAATATATCACAAAATTAAAGTCAAAAATGAGATCAGCTTATGAGAACTTTCAGCATTTTTGACGAGCAAAGATTGTAAAAATGTTTGAGGAAATTTCTTTATTAGCTTAACAATTTGATTAAGCTGTTTAAAACTTCTTGAATTCACTGTTACTCCCGCTATTATAAATGTTTTTAGAATCCCCTCCAGTAACCAGATTTTTTTTATAATACAATCAAACTCTATTGCTATTCAATTTTGCACTACCTCCAAGGCGTGCAAAATTGAATAGTAATAGAGTTTGATTGTAGAGTGGACAAATGAACACAGATGTGCGTTATCTTGCCTACCATTTGTAAATAAAGTCTGGTTACTGGAGAAGATCCTAAAAACATTTTTGGTAGCGGAAGTGACAGTGAATTTTCAAAGAAAAGTTGGCCACGTCCTTCAAAAAATTTTGAACAGCTTAATCAAATTGTTGAGCTGGTAAATAAATTTCCTCAAACATTTTTTTGATCTTTGCTCAAAAATGAAAACGTCAAAAACGTCAAAAATGCTGATAGTACTCATAAGCTGATCTCATTTTGACTTTAATTTTGTGATATATTTATTCCTAGGGGAAAAGTTCTTGCATGTGGATGTCTTTGAACAAGCATTTTATGATTCCCTGTAAGATTAGCACGTTCACTCGATTATGTTGCTTAAATCTTAAAATTTGTTATTTTGATTAGGATGTGAAAGTAACAAACAGCCACGCAAATTTCAGACTGACACCAAAGTGCAAAGCGCTAATTTAAACCAAAATTGGTGTTCATTTCCATTTACGCGTATTTCAACAGCCCACATTGTTTGATATTGTGTAAGTGCAAAATATGATGTGCATTATAGAGCGAGCTTTGCACATATTGAAACTCTTTGAACTTCACCAGTCAAAATTGTTTGTCTTAATAAGAACAAAAGTCTGAGTTGATATATGATCGTTTTTATGTTCGAGTTTGACTGCAAGGGGAATCGTAGAAGCTCTCTCCGTGATTGCAAAAATAATACCTATTTTTGCTTGCATAGAGATATCTTCATTAGTCAAACAATTTCGACATTTTTCATAAAGATACATTACATGCTCAAAGTCTGCTCTTAGGAGATCAACTAATTAGTTGCCTTGTACACTGGGAATAGAGATTCGCGTAGAGCTGATTCAAAGAACAACTCATGTTCGAAACTAGCAGTTTAAAGTTGATTCAACACAAAAACTCAATGAAATGATGTTGTTTTCTATATTCGCAGGTTGTTTCCGCGCACATAACCGTTTAGGGAGAATTTACTCCAACCTTGAGCTTGCATATGCAAAAATGTAATGGTC